TATTCGCCTCAAGCGAATTCGGAGCTGGAAGAACAAAATCCGGAACTCCGAGCAGCAGGGGTGTGCATTTATTTTCCAACGCCTCCGTAATAAAGCTTCAGATGAGCCACCGAATCAGAATGCAGACGGGCAGATTGTGACTCATCCCGAATCTGCCATTGCTGAGATAAACAAGTCATGGGACACGGTGTTTGCCGCCAATGTGCTAGCTGACCATCCTTTGAAAATGCTTGAAACTGTTTGGCCCTATATCTCCGACAAGCAAGCCACTGTCTCCCTTTCACCAATCACAGGGGACATGCTGTTTCAAGTTGTTCAGAAGAGGAAAACTCAGGCTGCACCTGGTCTGGATGGGTGGGGAACTAATGAACTTCAAGCGTTGCCGAAGTGCTGTTTTGATGTTTTGGCTGACTTTTTCAAAGTCATTGAGGACACAGATGAACCTCTCCCCAGCGCCTTGACTTTTGCTAAGCAAGTGATTCTTAACAAGCCTGGACCGGCTTCGCCGTTGAACAAAAGACTCATTACGGTTTTACCCCCCCTTCTTGCATACACAGGGGCTAGATACAACCAACTACAAGAGTGGCAGTCTCGAGCAATGCCGGCTGCCATTGTCGGTGGCGTGAAGGGCAGATTCATGTCCTCCTTCTCCTTGTACAATGATATGCGCCTTGACATTGACGTTGCGAATCTTGACAATGAATGTGTGGTTGGGGTCAAACTTGACAAATCCACAGCATTTCATCGAATCATTCCTCAATTCGCTGCCTGTTTGTTTGTTGCGTTTGGAATCCCACAGAACGTTGTTCGAGTTTTCCTCAAAATTTATCAAGGTCTGCACAAGCATTTAGCTTATCGGAACTGGACCTCGCCTGTTGCCACTACTCATGCTAACGGTGTGGTGCAAGGTTGTTCTTTTTCTATTCTTGCTATGAATGCCTACAACAAGGTCTGGTATCACCTTTTGGAACAGCTGCCGGGCTTGGTCATTCGTGCATATATCGATGATAGCTATTTGTGGTGTCGCTTGGCCAACATTCAAGCACTCAAAACGGCCATCCAGGTGAAGGTTTGGGACACCCTTGCAGTCCAAAAACTGAATGTTGCCAAATCCAGTATGTTGAGCAACTCATTTGAGGGTCGAACCAAGCTGAAAGAAGCCTTTGCTGACTTCCCTGTGGCGCTTGAGTTTGAAACACTGGGCACTAGGATTTACACCTCCAAACGCTTAGCTTTTGGTTTCACGGACGGATCCATGAAGAGAATCATTGCTGACATTGACGACATTGCTGCACTTCCGGTTGCCATGTCCACGAGGGTCTTTTTGATTGGGTCCAAAATTATCCCTCAGCTGACGTTTGGTTTCCACATTTCGCGAATCCCTCCCTAAATCCAAACTTGATGTTATCCAGAATGCCATTGCCAGATGCATCTGGGGAAACCGACCGAAATGGCGATCTAAGTGGTTAGTTCAGGCTATATGTGGTAAGCCACATCGCACCGACCCTCGTTCTGCCTGTGCCTTCAATACTGTCTTGGAGGTGATTCGTTCCTGCTTCATGTCTCATGATGTCACTCATAAACTCATTCGAACCATGGAGCATGGGGAGACCTTACCCCACTCACTTGCCGGCCGTTTCAAACAAGCATGTGACTTCCTTGGTATCGTCACTGACAATGATCTGAATATCTCCTTTTGTGGATCCCAGCCAATCCCTATCCAGGAGATCTCTCCTTTGGACGTGCCCAAGATTCTCCAGGCAGTTACACGAAATGCATGCTACGACCTTGCGGGCTCTACACCTCGTAAGGATTTTCAGAGGACGAAACAAGTTCTTGTTTTTTGTCAGACAATTTCGCTTCTTCGGGCCCCCAAAGAAGTCACGGTTGATGAAATCTCCAATCACACTCGGTTTGAGCCAGTCCCGGTAGGTTGTGTACTCACCAATGATCGGTTGGCCAGTACCGGGTGGAGTGAGTCTCCAGCCTGTCGACTATGTGATCATCCTAAGGAAACTCTTCATCACTTGGTTCACGAGTGTCCTGGAGTCCGTGATCAAATTGGGCCAGCTGTTGTACACGAACTTGGCAAAAACTTTGGCCTTCTGAGACATGTTCATCAACCTGAGTCTGAGTTTGTTGTTCGACGGAGAATGCTACAGCTTCGAGCCACAGACTTGGAGGTTGCCTCTAGCTTTGACTGCAACGTATGCATGAAGATCTGGACAGACGGCTCAGTCATCTTCAGTGATAACGTATGGCTTATGACGGGTGCCTACGCTGTCGTGAATGACCAAGGTTGTGTTTTGTTCAAAGGACAGGTGAACCACATTGCTCTTTCGGCGTATGCAGCTGAGTTATGGGCGGAAATTGTTTCTGGCTCCAAAGCAGTGACAAAACTGGATATCAGTGATTGCCAAACGGTTGTCCAACAGGCTACAAGGGTTTTTGAAGGAAATCAACCAGATACGACATGGCGATGCTTTCACTGGTGGATGTTCTTGTTTGATCTTGTCAGTATGCGGGGTGGAGGTGACTGCTCTCCATTCCGTATTTCCTGGATCCCGGCGCACAAACTGGAGCATATTCCTGTTCAATACCTCACCGAGGACTTTGCAAAGGCATGTGGCTCAACGGTGCAGCACAGTGTTAACAACAGGGTTGCCGACTATACTGCCAGAGAGTTTGCTGCCAGTATTGCTCCGGTTGATCCGGCGCTTCGACAACAACTCAAACAAGCCATTTTGGGTCACCAGGCATGGCTGGTCCAGCTACATTCGTTGCTGCCCACTAAGGAACCTGACATTCAGACGCCGGAACCTGTGCCAGAGCTTCCAGATGTTCTCACCCAGCACAATGCCGAGCGTGGTATCCACAATGGTTGTGGGATACCCGATGTCGCAGTACAAATGGAAGCCTAAAATTCCCGCTGTCGAATGTCCAAAAACATGGACTGGTGGGACTGGTAACTGGTCGACAATCCTAAAATTTCTCAAGGACCTGCGATGGAAGCAAGATAAAGCTGCTTCCTTTTCGTTCTGTGAACTTGCTGCGGTTTTCCATTCGCTAGGTTTTAGACTGGTCTGCGAGGAAAACATCCATACGTTTCGAGACGCTTGCAATGCCATTCGGAAAGCGCTGCTACACCTGTCGAAACTTCCGACCGTTGACGCTTTTCCGGGAGTGTTTAACTCCACGCGCCCTCGGAGTTGCGGGCGCACCCTCCCGCAGGGATGCATAGACTTCGCCAACCCATACTTGGCACCTGAAGGGTACCAGCTGGTGGCTAATTTGCTTGCAAGAGGTGCAGGCCGCTCCCTCGACACTTGGGAGATTCCAGTCTGCGATTTCTCAGACGAATGTCTCTTGGGGTACATAGCTATGTTGTGACCTGTGCGTCATGCATATGCCAGACGCGTCTCACACGTGTAATCTGGCGCGAGGGGTAGTAAGAGATCGTAGATCTTCAACGCAGGCTTCGTCATCCTAGCCTCGATCCTTCTTACTGCGCCTGTTGTCTGAGCGGCGCTTCCACCTGTTGCTGCTGCGGATTGCTTCCTAATTGAACTTGCACCATCTGAACCACCTGGTGTGCTGCAGTTGTCCGCTACCTGTCACACAATGCGCGCCGGGCACTCCCTGCTCCAATGACCGCGTCCGCCGCACAGCTCGCACGCGTCATTGCCCAAGGCCCTAGGCCTTTCCTTTTCTTCTACCGTCTTTGCCACTCCCTTTACCTTTGCCTTTGTCATTGTTGTAGTTGTAGCTGCCGCCATAGCTTTTGCCTTTTTGTTCAATTTTTTCATCGGTTCATCTTTCCTTTAGCTTTACCCTTGTCCTTGCCCTCCACTCGGTCAAACTACCTTGGTACAACTTGATCACGTCGATCTTGATCTCCCTTGCCAATGTCAAATTCTTTGCACAGGGCTTGCGAAGTGTACGATGAGGTCGTTCATTCAAGTTCAAATGACAACAACTGTCTCACGGATCTCGGAATAGGTCGCACTGTCGTCCATCATCAGTTGAACATGCTGGCGCAAGTCCCGGGGCATCACGCGAAGAAACGCAGAGATCTTTATATTTTGCGCGAGCTCTTCGCCTGACACTGCATGATACTCCACAGCCAACCTCTCCAAGCCTAAAATTCAAGGAGTCCAAGGCTTTGCCGGACCTCAACCGCAAGCGCCAGATCGCAGTGGGCACAACATAACACAAACACACAACCAACAACAAACTCACAAGCGCAAACACAACCACAACCACAAGCACACAGAAGCCACAAGCACAACCACAAACACACAGCCACAGCACACACACTACCGCAACATTCAAGCGCAACCTCAAATACACAACTACAACAATATATAGTTACCTGTGTGGGTGGCATTTTCCGTGGCGTGTGGTCACAGGGTCGCACTTTTCGATGTCAGCATGTAGACCCTGCCACACCCCGACGCGAACTCCCCAACACTAAACTAACTTTCTGAAACCCGAGAACCCACAAGCAAAATCGAAAACCGCAAAACTCAAGACTATGGAAACATGGTCCTCACCATGGCATGAAAACACATGATTGAACTGTCATGGTGGGGATTATTCGAAGTAAAGTGTTTTCCAAAATACCAAGTTGAGTGACTCTTTAGACCACTAAAAATCGATCTACAAAGAATATCTATACAGTATATAATGTTTACCATGATACATGGAACATGAGGCGTCGTTTGCCCTCTTGCTGTGCATTTGCTTCACCGCTGGGGCTGACAAGGGAGCTGCGCAACAATGACTTCGTCATTCATGCAGTTGACCCCTTTCCTCCCCCGATGACCGCCTTGCGGTCTAATGGCTTTGCCATGAACATCAAATAACCATAAATAACCCAGAGATCACCCTGAGGTCTTGAAAGAACACGATAGTACGGATATGATGATATGATGTATCTCTTTCCTTCGCAATGTGCACAGTCTCTATGCCTACATTTGCAGCATGTTGAACATTCATAAGGCGCAACTTCTCACAGAGTTTGTCTCTGGGGCGAAACGGGCACGGGTCAAAGTTCAATCACGTTAAAAGCGTGGGAGGTTGTCTTTGGCCTGTGCACATGTCTTAATTCAAGAAATTGCTTTGCAATCTCATGCCGTGCATTTCCTGATGCAACGACGGATTAAAGGTATGTCAGTCCCAACTGATTAGTGTCGTTCCGGTCCTTAGCACAAGCGACAGACATCAATATCCTCTCCCCGCGAGCTCATGCAACTACAACTATGCAACCTGAGGCCCTCGCCATCACGGTCATCATCGGCGCAGCATGACAGCTCAACATAGTCTCCTTTATCGTCGGCCTTGCGTCGCCTTGGAGAACTTTATCACCATTTGAGGTGAAGCTAAAGCTGACAGTGATTCATCCAAGGGGCCTCTCCGTTTTCTCAACAGGTTCATCGTCTGCATGTTCATGTGGTTGATGTCGCCACCGGCAATATTTGCACCAGACGTGAATGTGCCACAAGATCCATCCAAGCAGCCATGCATACGCAAATCCTGCATCTATCTTGTTCCCGATGGATATTCGATCGATTGAGACATCCTCTTCCCTTCTCTCAACGCCTTCGAATGCAGCGTTGGCCCTCGGTGCCTTCTCGGCAGGATGAATGCTGAAGTGATCGACATAAAGCAAGACCAAGGCCAGCTCTAGCAGAAGGCTCAGAAGGAAGAAGTAAGAGATGGCAATGTAATTATCTAACCAAGTGGAATACGACTTAACAGGCAGTTCGTTGTCTCCAAGACGGTACTGGATGCCTTGAAGCGCAAAAATCGTGGTCAAGATGGCACCAATCCTCTCGCCTGGGTGCGTGCTCGCGGGCGTAAGGGCGGGCGCTGATGCATAAGCGATGTAAAACAAAGGAGAACTCATGTCAGTTCGATGATTCAACATGCAACATGTTTCACAAATCATTGGTTCGGTCCTTTTCCTTCATCCGTGAGCTTTATGAAGAAAATGCTGAAGCAGGCAAGCACAAAAATAAAGCGAACCAAAACAACCTCCATCAGGCATTGCTTTGCTTTATGGCGCAAGGGAAGATTTCCTTTGACTTGGGCGTACTCCTTTATGCCAGTTCCGACTTTAGCCTCGACAAACATAGGTTCCTTGCCCTTTGTAATGCAGAAACGGTCCAAATCCTTGTCAAGGCCTTTGCGGCACTTGCTTTCGATCACTCCATATTGATCTTTCTCCAAAACCAGAGTCACATATTGCTTTGGCGCCCTGGAAATAATGTAGAACTTGAGGTATTGTTCATCGAAAGGATACTCTTGCAACTGCATGGTTGTCTGAAAACTGACCCTCAATTTGGCATAAAACAATACTTCACCGACTTTGCCATCAGTGAGGTACTGGTTTTTCAGCAGGATAGTAGGTTCGCTTGCAAGCTTGCCGAAGGTGACCATGCCGTTTTCGCCCAAGATCCCGTCGAACAACTCAAATGATGGTTCAGTCTTGTGAACGTATGGCGGTAATTCCAAGGCCTGCAAAACAACACTTACAACTTGAAAAATCGACCAAACAATGTCTTTGAAGTCAGACGTTGAAACACACACTATTGCTAAATGCTGTCAAGAAACTTCGCCGCTTTCGGTTTCATATATGTATTCTTTGCCATCAGTGGAATCTTTCTTGTAGTACCCCTCAATGAAGGGCAAGTTGGCACAGTGATTGAGCTTGAGCTGTTGCTTGCAGCAGCACTGCTGCCGTTTTGGAGACTTAGAGCGCGGGCTGAAGAGTCCTGGCTGACCATCCTTGCTGGCATCTTCGCATGTCCGTGCCCAGGAACGGCCAGGGAGAGGCTTGCGCAGCCAAATTTTGGTTTTGTGTTTCCTGCAGCGTGGAAATCATCACTGTCCCATGAAGCGGGTGGCTGGTGCAATTCGTGCAACGTCATAACGTCGATTTCCGAACATTAAGCACTTCCAGAGGACCGCGAGTATTAAAACAAGATGAAACCCACAAACCCAATGCGCGCACTCGAAAACAAACGGCCAAACATTGTTTGACACTCTTGTGGGACTCTCTTGTAAGGCACTCTTGCAGGCAGCGCTCTTGTGGGACACTCTTATTGTAGAACACTCTTGTAGGAAACAGTCTCTTGTGGAAAGCTGTTGTGGGACACTCGTGCGACACTGTTGTGGGACACCCGCCCTTGTGGACAACTCTTGTAGGGCACTCTTGTGGGCCACTTTTGTGGGGAGTTCTTGTGGGACACCCTTGCGCGACACTTTTGTAGGAGGAGACACTCTACTCTTGTGGGACCTTTTGTAGGAGACGCTCTTGTGGGGCACTCTTGTGGACACTCTTGTGGAACACTCTGTGGAAAACTCTGGTGCGACACTCTTGTGGGACACTCATTGTAGGCACAATTTCGTGGGACACTCTTGCATCCTCGCCACAAGAGCATTTCGCACAAGACTTTCTCAAAACACTCGCGCATCAAGTCTCCAAAACGAGCGCTTCATACGAGACTTCCTCCAAAAGTTAAATTTCAACTCTCAATAGCGACCGTTTCGTTCGAGATCAGAGCGAGCGCATCAAGCAAATCCCCGGCGCGGATGGTCTTGTCCTTGGGAAGAAGTTCGCCTGCGCGCTCATCATAGCCCTCTGCACCTTCATGGAGTTTCCCCACGCCAGGTATCCAGCAATGGGTTCTTGCTTGCCTTCGGATCTATGCTCGCCAAAGGCTCTTCTGCTGCTCTTTTGGCTCCACGAGACTCGGATTCATGAAAACTCTTTTCTTCGCTTTCTCGTCCAGGTCACCTGGGCCACCCGCCTGACGATCGACCGCAGAGCCACCCGCTGGTCGGCTCGACTTCGGCGCGGATTTCTCCGCCGCCGGTTTGAGGCTCATCCTGGCATCTGGGACTGGCTCTGCGGCTCTGCCTTCTCATTGTCCTTGGACCTTCTCTTCATCCTCACATAGCCTTGCAAACCGGGCCTGGCGAGGTGTGCGCGCGTATTTTTGGCTTGTCATTTGAACAATGACAGTTTGGACAGCCTAGTTGGACCATGCTTGATCAGCCTTGCAAGAGTGACCAGGGCTGGCGCCCCACCAGGTGCATCTGGAAGCGCTGGTGTAGGAGGAGGCACTGTGCCAACACCCCCTGGCTGTCATGGAGCGCCTTTCATGTCCACCAGGATCTTTTCACCCCAACGCCTCTTCTCTGGCCTGCGAAGTGTAATCCTGCATCGACGAATGCTATGCGTTGTGCCAACATGGTGTTCATCACTGTTCAAGTTCAAGGATTTGCAAATCCAAACTCCCACAGCTTGTAGTGAACCACCTCGAATGGCTCGACCACCTGTCCTTTGAACTCTCGCCCGTGAAGACGCTCATATGCTGCCAGCAGCCAACCAGCATGTCGAACAATCAAACTACCGACCTTCATCTTGATACTGGGGTACCTCATCTCCAAAGCATTCACCAGTAGGACCAGGGTTGTCCTCACAACCGACGCAGAGCCTTCAATTTGTGCCAAGCTTCAGTGACCAAGTTCAGGGCGTGAGCATTGGCTCTCTTGCCCGCTACACTTGAGAACGTGCGACCAGTCTTTTCATCATGAAGGACCAACACTGGTAACGTGCCCTCTTGCTCATCTTCTGGCTTTCTCAACTCTTCCACGTTTTGCGCTTCTGAACTTTCTGATTTCAAAACACGCCCAAGGAAACAATCTAGAAACCTGTGACTGTTCTGCTTGCGCTCTAGACTCTACGCATGCGTTCGTCTTCCTTGCATTTCCTTGCAGCGCAATGATCACGCCAGTCCCGAAAAGGAAGATGGGAAGTCGTCGATCGTGTAATTGTTGAATTCATCTGGCATGGCCTCCTCGCGCGTTTTCTTTCAAACAGTTTCCTCCCCACTTCTGATATTTCAGCTGGGAGAACTGGCCCATCAACTTTTCCACGCGCGAATTTGGAACATGTTTTGGCTCCCCTCCATGGCCGCGTCCTCTACACCACAGCTTTCTTCACCGGCTTTACTGCCGCAGTGGGTCTTGATGCGGGACTGCCCGCCACACAAGGCCTAGCTGGTAGCCAGTACACCCGGCGTTTCTTCACTAAAGGAATGGTCCAGATGATGGTCCAACTGCTGACATATCATTGAACCAACACAGTCACTCTCAGAATACTCAACCTGAACCCCCCTGATCAGTTTCAACGACGCTACGTCTTTTCTTTCCTACGGTCAACCTCTCCCCAGTCACTGTAGCCTTTGCAGACGTCAGCTGTAGGGTTTGCCCATCTTGCCTTTGCAGACGTCAGCAGTCCCTTTTCAAGCTAACAGATCGATCTTGTTTCAAGGGCAGACGGCAACAGTGATCAAATAGAATAATCATCTTTTGTATCTCGATACTCCTGTCAAACTTAAAGGTGACCACTATGTTGTTGAACAAAAGTGCATTTCAACTGACGTTGAGATAACGCGCGAACACCTTCAAGAGACATGGAGCAGTATGCGGAATGGCACGGCTACTCCTATCCCTGAGGGGTATTGGGATGAAGCTGCTGAAGTTGTTACTTCTATCAAGATTTCCCTACTTGTACTTTCCAACCTTTTACTCAGCAAAGTTGAGCTGACTGCAATGGCTTTGAGCATGATTGTTTGGGTTGGCCAGATGGTTGGGTAATAGGAAAGCTTTCGGTTCTCTCCAAAGGATTCGAACCACGGTCACCACTCGATATCCGGCCAATTTCGGTATTGGCCTGGCTTTACAGACTGTGGAGTAGATTCCGTTCACGTGAAGTTCTTTCCCACCTTGCCAACTCAATGCCAGCGCAAATTGCTGCGACCTCGGCTGGGGTCTCCGCAGGCTTGTTGTCAGGGTATATTGCTTTTCAATTTGAACTCGCAAACCACGATGAAGCACAGCTCGTTGGCACAGTTGCGGATATAGTCAAACGTTACAGCTGCATTCCCATGGGAACCAGTTTGCTTGATATGGAACAAGATTGGTGTCCCACCTTTTCTCACGCAAGCGTTGTTCAGATTTCTTAGACAAATGACATGCTTTGTTGAGACAGGACGGTTGTGTGGGCCTGCCATAAGAGCGTCCTGTGGGCGTCTGACGGCCCAGCTCAAATGTTTGCAGGTTAACGTTTCTTCACTCCCTTTCATATCTCAAGCACTTACAAAGCGACTTTGAAAGGCACAGGGGGTCTTGAAGCGAATTAGTAAACTTAAAGCGTCCAGAACTTTTAGGCAAAGAATGGCCGAGACCGCAGGCTTTGGCACTTTTGCATACGGAACAGAAATTCAAACAGTTTGTCCTTCAAAATGGAAGACTCTCCGAACAAAAGCGTGCCAAGCTATTGGAGCTTCCCAGAGTGTGGCCAGTCCGAGGATTGCAATGCTATGCCAGCGTGCCTCGCTGGATCCCCAACTCAGACATCTATCTCGAATGATGATTTTTTGGAGGAGACTTTTCAAGGTTTTCCCAGAGTGCAACGATGGGTTCAATAGACTACTAGCTTGCTCTACCTGCAAACAAGACCAGTCTTTGCTTTCCGTTATTCTTGCAGAGCAGCCTGTTGGGAACCGATGCAGGATTTTGTCCTTCGTCATCAGAATGGTTCCGCGTGCAACTGGTTGCTTTCTCAAAAAAGTGGTTGCAACTTTGCACTAGGAAAGCATGGACTTTCACAATTGCACAGAATTGTTCGCACCGTAAAGATTTTGACCTGGCTCAAACTGACGAACGATTGGTTCGAACTCTCTTAGAAAAACGTAGCGAAACTGAGCGCAATACCTTGCAAGCTTACCACACAGGGGCTGCCTTCACACATGACTTTGTGTCCAAATACAACAACCAGTGTAATCCCCTGTGTCCTCTCTGCCAGCTAGACAATGATTCTTGTAAGCGTCGAATGTTTAAGTGCCCAGCCTTGAGCGAAGTGCGGGCAAGGCACAAGGATTTGCCAACATGGCTTCCCAAAAGTGATGAAACAACTCAGAAACTAGCGCTGTCTCCTGATTACAAGGATGCCTTGCGCATAAAGGTGGCTTTTGAACTTCCTTGGGAACTCGCCCGGTTCTTTCAGACCAACGGCCGGAACAAGTTGTTTGTTTCTAGCTGGCTCCGCCAGTTTCCAAAGGTCCATGGAGCATTGTTTGGCAGCCGCTGCAGTGGTTGAATCGGAATTTATGGTGAATAAGACACGAACAGTTCATTCTCAGTTGTTGCCGGGATTGCATCGCAATTCTTATAGGGCAGAAGTCTTTGCAGTTTTACTTGCGCTTTGTCGCAAAGCAACCCTCAGTCGGTGGTGGATACTTTTGGAATCTTTTTGCAGGCCCGGTATTTCGATACCGATCCACGGCGCCCTGAAGATAGTGACTTGTGGTCAGAGATACGGCAACAACTTTTATCGCGCCCAAAGCACGAGGTTGTGGCCATAAGTACCACTAAGGTTCCTATTCATGTTTTCTCCAGACGTTTGGCCTCTGAGCTTTCCCCTTTAGAATATTGGCATGATCGAGGAGATAGGTCCGCAAAGCAGGCTTTGAAGACGTCCAATGTTTATGCAATGTTAGAAACTAGACTACGGTTGGCCCGAGAGCGAGACATGTACTTGTCCGGCGCTGTCGAAAAGATGTATAGAAAGAGAGAAAGAGAGGGTGGATGTGAAGGAGTGACAGTGTGGATGTGAGCGTGCGAAGATGTAAATGCACAGAGACGAAAGAAAAGATATGTAGAAAGAAAGAAAGACAGGACAGATGTGAAGGAGTAAGCAAAGTAGCTAAAATTTGTCAACCTCTCAAGAGAGCCGGGTGGTCGGGAGACATGACTCAGCTGCAGGGGCGCCAGAGCAGCCGCGAGAGATGACTCAGCCGCGAGAGATGACTCATCCGCGAGCTAAAGTTGTACTACCAAGTCGCCAGTTCTCAGCTTCCAGCTCCACAGCTTGCTCCGCGTACTAAAGTTGTACTACAAAGTCGCCATTTCTCATCTTCCAGATCCCCAGATACTCCGCGTACTAAAGTTGTACTAGAAAGTCGCCAGTTCTCATCTTCCAGCTCCCCAGATACTCCGCGTACTCAAGTTGTACTACAAAGTCGCCAGTTCTCAGCTTCCAGCTCCACAGATTGCTCCGCGTACTAAAGTTGTACTACAAAGTCGCCAGTTCTCATCTTCCAGCTCCGCAGATACTCCGCGTACTCAAGTTGTACTACAAAGTCGCCAGTTCTCAGCTTCCAGCTCCACAGATTGCTCCACATACTAAAGTTGTACTACCAAGTCGCCAGTTCTCATCTTCCAGCTCCCCAGATACTCCGCGTACTCAAGTTGTACTACAACTTCGCCAGTTCTCATCTTCCAGCTCCACAGATTGCTCCACATACTAAAGTTGTACCGCAAAGTCGCCAGTTCTCATCTTCCAGCTCCCCAGATACTCACTCCGCGCACTAAAGTTGTACTACAACTTCGCCAGTTCTCATCTTCCAGCTCCACAGATTGCTCCGCGCACTAAACCAAATCGCACTCTCGCCTGCGTTTCGCGCACTCGACACGCGCAATCTCCGCAGAGGGTTGCCCGCGATAAAGCCAAATCGCACTCTCGCCTGCATTTCGCGCACTCGACACGCGCGATCTTCGCAGAGGGTTGCCCGCGACAAAACTAAATCGCACTCTCGCCTGCGTTTCGCGCACTCGACAGGCGCGATCTTCGCAGAGGGTTGCGCCGGACCGGGACAAATCGCACTCTCGCCTGCATTTCGCGCATCCAACACGCACGATCTCCGCAGAGGGTTGCGCCGGACAGGGACAAATCGCACTCTGGCCTGCATTTCGCTCGCCGACGCGCGCGATCTCCGCAGAGGGTTGCGTTTCGTGGCGGTCCGGCGGCACTGCTCCCGGCCTTAAGACAGAAAGTTAAGAAGAGCGAGAGGTGAAGATGTGAGATGTAAACGAGAGGTAAAGATGTGAGATGTAGATGTGAGGATGTGAAGATGAGCTGAGATGTAGATGTGCAGATGTGAACATGATTGTGAAGATGAAGATGAGCAGATATGTCGATGTGAGGATGTGAAGATGTGCAGTTGTGATTGTAGATGTGAAGATGAGCAGAGATATAGGTGAGAATGTGGATGTGCAGAGGTGAAGATGTGAAGATGTAGGTGGGACGTGGTTCTGCAGGTGTTTTTTTGCGAGGGGCCCTTCGCGGGCGCTCTCGGGAAAAATCTTTTGACCGATTCGGGCTAGGAAGCTAGGAGACTTTGTTCTTGATTTGGCTTGCGCAGCTAAGTCTTTAACAAAACAAGAAGTTCTACTTGAGCCAGGTTCCTGTGTCCCAGTGAAGTGGGCACCTAGCACTGCACTGATGTGGCCTGTCAATGTTGACCCAGCTCAGAACATCTCGCGCCTTGAGCTGTACATTGATTTTGCAATTAGTACTGGGACTGTTGCCCCAGTCAATGTGAATCAATGCTCTGGCCCAGGGCATAAAGCTATCAACGCAGTGCCTGATGAAAATTTCTCGGCGCAGGTTGCCTCCGCAACCTTGGCGCAACAATCCAGAGTGTGGATCCGGTTTCTCAAATGGGTTCTTGCAGTTCAAGGTGAGACAAAAGTTTTTCCCGCAAGCTTTGTCAAACATTGCATTTGGGTCCGTTAGGCTATAGGTTGTGGTTGCCTGGAGTGGATAGGCGCCCATTGTTGGCTTCTTCCGATAGACCTTTCCAAGTCTTACAGACACTCTTCAGGGTGCCATCTCACAGGCATACTTTGGAATTCTCCTTTTCGCCCCGGAACTTCGTTACATCGCCTGTTGTCAGTGTGAAAATCTTGTTGACGGAACGCTCCGTGTTTTCCCACACGGATAACTCTATGTGTCCAAGTACAAATTTGTTTGCTGCAAGCCAGACTTATATAATTATGTGTGCATTGTGCTTTAGGTCCTTGGAGCCCTCTGCTTTTCCTACGCATGGCTCAACTGAGGAGTTTTCTGCTTTGTGAGTGCTTTTCCTCTTCCAAAGAGCGCAGAGCTTATGGAATGCTTGATGGTTTTGTCCGCATCTTGGTTCTCATGTCTTCGACGGGTGAACTGTGATCATTTTCTTGGAAAATAGGAAAGACCCACGTTCTTTCCGATGCAGCAGTGCTTCATGATGGTCTCTTGGCTCTTGCTTGTTGGGGCTCGGCAGACCCCCAGCGCTGTGCCTTTTCGTAGTCTTGCTTTCTTTAGTGGTTCTTTCACGCCTATGCTGGGAATAGCCACAGCTTCTGTCGAAGCGCTACAGCAGAAACGCGGAAAAATCACTGTAGCCAGATTCTTCTTCCCGCGACACCCGCAATCCACGGCGTGTTCTCCACCAAGATGTCCTTGTAGCTAACAGCTGCTGCAACCAAGGTGGCATCCTGAGGCGTGGCCGCGATTGGTTCTGGTTCAGCCGCATGGGCGCGGCTTCATTCTAATTTTGATGTGATCCTTCTTGTGGCAGTAGTGACACTCTTTGTCAGCATGGGTGGTTTGAACTGGAAGTGGATGAAGACGTTCCCACCTTTGTTGGACTTTCGTTTGTGTTTGGTGTCTTTTCCTTGCTCCAATGTCCATTGGGGTAGGCATTAGGCATCGGTTCTTGAGATCTCCAACAATTCTGTCCTGACGTCCTGATACGTCTTCAAACGTGAAGCGTTGCAAATTACATGATCTCGAATGGTTCGATCCTGACAATGCCAAGTAGTAGTTCATCATCTATGCGCCTGCCAAGATTCTGTTTCATACCGACGAATGGTTGCGTCAAAGGTATCAAGCTCTGAAGCCAAATCACCAACGTTGATTTTTGTTGCCAGAAA